TCGTGGCTAAGAACCGACTTCTTTAATATTATGCCAACACACATAAAGACTGACCCTGATCTTAAATGGAATCCTAAGATTAAAAGTAACTGATGCTCTGGAACTTAAATAGAATCATAAGATGCATCTTTTTATAATATGATAATTTACTTAGGCAGTCAGACAAATGAGTTGTTGTTTTAGAGGATGCTTGGATACAAATCTATCTAAAAAAATCTAATCATATTTAACTCAACCCCACTACCTTCAAATGATTAGCTAAATAATATTCACTAAAATTTTTATAGTTTTTAATGTTGTTTAAAAGAACCTTAAACATGTATGTTTAAATATTAAAAAACACTTAATTGTTATACAACATGTGTAAGCTTATCTAAAATATTCTATATTATTCCTAAAAAATGTGAGGTCACCTTTCTAAATTATTTTATAAGTAGACTGTAAAACTTGTCTTAAAAAAATTCAACACCCATACATATATACACAACATATTTAAAATATACAAAATACTACATGTGAATAATCTGTATTCAAGTCTAAAAAAATATTAGTAATTATATCTACAAAAATATGTATGAATAATACAAAACATTAAATATTACATCACGCTAATTTTATGAGAAATATTATATATAGTAGATATAAAATATAAAAACATTAGTTGTTAGACAATACTTCACGCTAATTTTTTCAATCTGAACAATTTTTAATTGGATGTATGAGAACTTTTTATATATATTTTCAAGCTGAACAACTTTTAGTTGGATAACTTTCCTATTATATGTGTGACAATTTTTATGTATTAAATTTATGGGAAAATTACACTTTGTCTACCGAACTCTCCGCATTTTTACACTTTGCTCACTCAACTTTTTCCGGTGACACTTTACCCCTTGAACTTCAAATATTCTTGCACTTAGCAACTTCCGGCCACCGGAGATGCAAAATCAAGGGCAAAGTGTAAAAACGCGAATAGTTCGGTAGGTAAAGTGTACTCGTGAAGACTGATTTGAGGTGTCTCCTAAGATGTAAAAGACGATTTTGCCCTTGATTTTTCACCTCCGGTGGCCGGAAGTGGTTAAGTGCAAGAATTTTTTAAGTTCAAGGGGTAAAGTGCGGAAAAAGTTGAGTGGGCAAAGTGTAAAAACGCGGATAGTTCGGTAGGTAAAATGTAATTTTCCCTAAATTTATATATATAGCTATAGATTTTGCATATATAGATTTATATTTTGTGTATACGAAAACGAAAAATCGATTTACTATACAAAATTTTGAAAATTTTACTTTTAAAAACAATTGACAAAAAGAATACCAATTAAGGGAATTGGATTATATCTAAAAAAAAAAATTGTATATGTCTCATATAAAATCGTTCATTTCCAAAATCTGCTTAAATATTAATATAAATTTATATTTTGTGTATATAAATGTCAATCCAAATTGTTGGTTCTAATAAATATGATAAAATAAATAAGAATCCTCACAAATGAGTATTCCAAGATTGACGCCATGTAAATTTAAATATTACTATAAAATTATTTTTTTGGTGTATGTAACATATATGCTGATCCAAATCAATGATTCTAATATATTTGTTAAAAAAAAAGAATCCTCGATAAATGAGAATTCCAAAATCGGCTACATATAATTATTTACATAATCTTTGCCTACGAAACCACT